CACACCTCCCCTGGCCAGCCGATCCTCCCGCTGCGCTCAGCCTCCCGAGTAGCGCTGGGACTACAGGCCCGCGGCCACCACCCCCCGGCCGTTTCTATATGTATTTAGGTTGCCAGCTCCATCTCCCTTTCTATTTTGACACTACCACAACCACGACGGTGAGATGTGCAGCTCATCTGGCGGGATGGACACCGCTTGTAGCTCTGACTCGAGGGGGGAGGGACCATGGCCAATATACGTGCACCTTAACACTTGTACTCCCGCCATAGATGCACCTAAATATAAAAATATAAGTAAATACCCTGCTCCTGCAGCCTCCCGGACCGTCCATCTTCAAACTCTCTGTCTCTCTCTCCTCTCTCAAGTTCATACCTAGATCTTTCCCCGGGGCAGTGACTGGGCGGTCCGCAGGAAGCCCGTGTCCGAGGGTCCCTTTCCCCCTAAAGCCAGCGGACACGGACACACCCTCCTGACCCGCCCGGTGAAGAGTCACCTGGCCGGCCCCAGTACGGGCTGAAAGGCCTCTGGGAAGACACGGGTGTCCGTAGACCCTGGAGCCACGTGACCAGGGACGGGTCATCGCAGCAAGGCCACACGCTCTCCTCGGCCAAGCTGAGTCACCAGCGGCACATGCGTGGCACCTGGACACAGACACCAGCGTGAAACGTGACCAGGGACCAATCGTCGGCTCGGACGGACCCGGACGCAGGCTGGGCCGAGACGGCGCCACACAGACAGACGCCCGGCGAGCCCTCAGTTCTCTGGAGGCCGCGTCTCCTCTGCCCCCAGCCACTCTGGGGACTAGGGGGACGGTGCTGCGTGTGGGGCGATGATTTAGACGACTGGGACCCCTGTCCCGAGAGCCGCCTTCCTGCAGGTCAGTGAGCTCCCCAGGGGTGAGACCCGGAGACTGCACGGCAAGAGCCCGCGTGCACAACGTCCGTGCCCAGCACAGCGATGCCCCGGCCCGGCCACACGTCCTCAGAGGCTCCGTCACAGCCAGCGGCACCACCGCGGACCCCAAAACTCACATCAGACCCCTCCCCGGGTGTCACCCCGACTCCTGCTCACGTCCGATCCTTCCAGCCCTGTTCATGCTGCCTTGAAAACCCGCCCAGACGGGGACCACGTGGGACCCCGCCCCTGCCCCCACCCTCCTGGGAGCCCCGTCCCCACATCCGGGGACCCCTCCCGACCCCTCCTGACCCCTCCAGACCCCACGGCACTTCCTCAGCGTGGCCGTGGGTGATGCCGTGCAGATCGGACCAGACGTGACCCCTCCCCCCAACGCTCCGGCCGCCCGGAAGCAAACCCACCACAGGACACGCCCCGCCACTCCCCAACCTGCTCTGGAAACCCCCTAGCTAGAGGCAGTGCCCACGTCTCCACCCTCGAAGCCGGGCCACCAAGACCCGCTGCTCCCAGCGACGGAAGTGGGCAGAGGCGCCATGTGCCGGACTGGATCCAGGGCCGCCCGGGGTCCCTCGTGTCCTACCCCATTCCAGGCCCTCTCCTGCCTTGGCAGGAAGCCCCGCCCAGGCTGTGGGGTAGCGAGGAGGGAGGAGAGGAAGAGAGAGGGAGGAGGAGAGGTAGGAGGAGAGGGGGAGGAGGGAAGGAGGAGGAGTGGGGGGGAGGTTGAGGAGGGGAGGAGGGAGGAGGGGAGGGGGAGGAGAGGAGGAGAGGAGGAGAGAGGAGGGAGGGAGGAGGAGAGGAGAGGGAGAGGGGGAGGGAGATGAGAGGAGAGGGGAGGAGAGAGGAGAGGAAGGAGGAGAGGGGAGGGAGGAGGGGAGGAGAGGAGCGGAGGAGGGAGGAGGAGGAGGAGGAGGAGGAGCGAGGAGGAGGAGGGAGGAGGGAGAGGGAGGAGGAGGGAGCAGGGAGGAGGGGAGGAGGAGGAGGGAGGAGGAGAGGAGGAGAGAGGAGGAGGAGGAGGGAGGGAGGAGGGGTGAGGAGGAGGAGGAGGAGGGGAGGAGGAGGGGAGGAGGAGGAGAGGAGGAGGGGATGAGGAGGGGCGGAGGAGAGGAGGAGGTGGAGGGGAGGAGGGGAGGAGGGAGAGAGGGAGGAGGGGGAGGGAGTGGGAGGAGGAGGAGTGGGAGGGGAGGGAGGAGGAGGAGGAGGAGGAGGAGGAGGAGGAAGGAGGAGGAGGAGGAGGAAGGACGGAGGAAGGAGGAGAGGAGAGGTAGGAGGAGGGAGGAGGAGGAGAGGAGGGGAGAGAGGATGGAGGAGGAGGGAGGAGGTGGAGGAGGTGAGGAGAGAGGAGGGAGGGAGGGAGGGGTGAGGGAGGATGGAGGAGGAGGAGGAGAGGAGGAGAGAGAGGGAGGAGGGAGGAGGAGGGAGGAGGAGGAGGAGGGAGGGAGAAGCGGGAGGAGGAGGGGAGAGGAGGAGGGGGAGGAGGAGGAGGAGGAGGGGAGGAGGGAGGGAGGAGGGAGGAGGGGTAGGAGGGGAGGAGGGGAGGAGGAGGAGGGAGGAGGGAGGAGGGAGGAGGGGAGGGGAGGAGGAGGATGGGGGAGGAGGTAGGAGGAGAGGAGGGGAGGGGGAGGAGGGAAGGAGGAGGAGGGAGGATGAGGAGTGGAGGAGGAGGGGAGTGGGAAGGGAGGGGGAGTGGGAGGAGGGAGGAGGATGGGGAGTGGGGAGGAGGAGTGGGAGGAGGGAGGGGGAGGAGAGGACGAAGGAGGAGGGAAGAGG